TGCAGATGTTCATGACAAGGTCTACACAGAGCCAGTGGAGGGTCCATTCCATTCACAGTGGGACTGGCACTGTAATACTTAAAGGTGAATTAAATATTTCTTTACATTTACAAATACAGGTTTCTTCAGCAAGACTCCTGCAGAAATAGCAAATTGTTCTTCATGGTATACTTGTAGGAAAAAGGTAATGTTCTTATACTTGTACAAGGCTGAGTGCTAGGTCGCACAACAAATAGATCTTCATGAAGAGCATAATGGTAGTATTCACCTTCTATATTGGTTTCAGATCACTGCATACGTAGTAGTGCAGGTTCTGGGTTTTGTAATGATATGTTGCATAATTTCATTTTCACTAACTTCAATAAAAAGACTTATAAACTAAAAGAGCTATTGATTCATATTTCCAAATACAGTATCATCAGTTCACAGATGAAAGAAATTTGCTGTTTACTGAAAACACAAGGTGTAACCAACTGAAAATAAGCTTACTTGTGTCAAGTAGTGCCCTATTTTTTGACTAGTCAGAGACTCCGCAGGATGACTCAAGGAACAAAATTAGTCAGCCCTGTTGAAGATACCAAAGCAAAGCTGTCAACTGTAGCCTTCCTTATTAAAGTTGTTCTACAAATAAGAACTATAGGATCTAATAGGCATAATGATTCACCCTCACTTCATGTAGACAATATTTCTACCATTAACAGCTGCACCTAATATTATAGGCTGGCAATCTTCAGAGCCAGTCTATACTCAGAACAAAAAGTATCAGTGCATAAATGCTTTTCAGATTTTATGAAGTCAGAAAATAGTGTTAGTGTTTTTTAAGAAGAATAAATAATATCAAGATTAGCTGAAGAAAATACCTGCCTCACTCATCCTGCTGATTTCCTACCCTTTTCTTCTGATTCTCTGCACTTCCACAAAGCAAGCCAAGTAACCATATTGTTTTTACTAGGTATTTGAAAGAATAAATGAAATAGCAATTTCAACCCATTAATTTTTCCTCCTTGTCCTTGTCTTTCAAAAATCCTGCATGTTTACCATTGATTCTGGGAAACAATCAGTTTAGGCCGTTATAGCCCCTCTTCATATTAAAGCCGCTAGTTCAGGAAGCGACTCAGCTAAAAACTGGACTTCTCTCCTTTTTAGAGTTTCCCAAAAGGAAAAAATCCACTCATTTCACGTTCTGGTCCTGGTCTGCCTTGAAAATACACGGAAGATTGAAAAAGCTGAACAGTTGTTAGGTAATTATTGATGTGAGGTGAAAAGAAAAGGTAAACGGTTCATGAGATCCTAAATTAATATGAGGTCTGAGCTAGATAAAGATTAGCAAACACACAGCACGTCAAATGTTTAAGTGGCATTTGCCTGTATGTACCAGTATGCTTTCTAAATTGAGAATTTAGTTGAACTCTGCATATGGAAAAAATGAAGGAAAGAAACAGGGTGAAAGATGAAAGAATATAGGAGAATCTGGGGAGGAAGAAAGTCCTGGGACTGGCTTACCACAGCATACGCACCTCAGCCACCTACAGATGTTCAGTTTGGGTTGCATATCCTAAAGACCCAAAGCTACAAAGGTGGAAGATAGAGTAAGAAAGGAAACTGAAAGACAAAAGGATTATAAAAATGGAATGAGAGAAGGAAAAAAGCAGGAGAATATATAAATTAAGGCTAGGCAGCCTGAAGGTTATTTTAAAGTACCAACTGAGAAGCAGATGCTTCTTTCAGATCAGGCCCAAGATCCATCCAGACTGCTTTAAGTTAGGTACACTGTGTCCACTAGTGGCTGGCATTTCAGGAGAAAGAGTGAGAAACTGTAAATAAGCAGTACAGAATAACCACGCTTTTCCCTAATCTATTCAGCTTGATGCTGACTCCTATCCTGAATCATGATCTTGAAGCACCGATATCCCTTGCAAATCTCATGTTTCTTTTTTAACCCTGTCTCATTACCCACAGAAATATCCAGTTCCCTTTGAATCCCACATGGCTCTTAGCTTCCATTATATGTTGTGGTAATAAGCACCACATGGTAACTGTTCAACTTACAAAAAAATCTTTTAGGTTTGTTGTCCTTTCAAAGTTGAAAGGAGGAGATGACTAAGAAGAGGACAGGTTTTAAAAGTAATTGTAGTCCAGGGGCATGTTGTGCATTAGCATTCCTCTCAGCATCGCTTTATGCTCTCATTTTGGGTGCTGTCTAGTTTTCTATCACTGACTTCCCTGCTTAGAAGGAGCTCCATCCATCTTCCCCACGGGAAGATGAAACCCAGGCACAGTCAGCAATTTTTATTTTTTAAAATAAGATAGGAAGCACTGCTTTTTATCCCACTAACATATTTTAAAAGTACAGACTGAATATTATGATGCATAGAGATTATACCTAAAATGGTTTGCTAGACATTTTCAGCATCTGTTCCCACGTGTTTGCATGGTATTTGTGTACTTGTTTGCCCTCATGTTTATGAAGAATTTTACAAATTACACAAAGATGATTAAAGCAGGCATGGCTCTCTTTACTCTTCTGCTTTTCTTTGAAAAGTAAACGAAAAATTATTGTTCTATCCACTAAATTGCTTGCATTAAATGTATTTGCACCGGGATCTTCTTGGTCTATAGGATTTCATCCCATTACCTGGAGAGATTCCCAGTTAAATGTATTTGGTGGATGGCTGGAGGCTGGGGGTTGGGAGGAGAAGGGGAACAGTGGCTGCCTTACAAGATTTGCAGAAAAGGCATTTTTGCCTTACATCGTAAACCATAAACGTGTATCAACAAAAGTTGCTTAAAATAATTCAGAGACGGAAATTTATCTATATCACATTGCATAATCTGGCCCTATCTTAGAGGGCCAAGGAAAGTGTCAAAGCTTTGAGGACAGATCTAGCAAATCTGGGCTGAAGACTCAAATGTAATTTTTAGTACCGCAAGTAGCTGATTGCACTGTTATAAATATATTTCATCCTGCTATTTTAAGTCTATGCAACATCAAAGACATATTTGCAGGTACAGTCTTGGAGAGCCAACAACTTAAGACACCACAATAATGCCACTTGGTGCACAGGGGGAGGTTAAAAGGAGGTTTAAAAGCAGTCAGGCACGATATATTAAATGAATCCATGACTAACGGGGTGTGACAGCAAAGGGTTTCATTCTTTTCAACAGAATAGATCCCTAGGGCTGGAAGTATTACTCCACTGTGCCTTTATCACCTTGGAATTTTTATGGTTATTTTCGATGAATTCACATTTTTGTAAAGATCTTTTTGACATTAAGCCAATTTTCACTTTTAAAGCCATAAATAACCTTAATTCTGCATTAAAAGGTTTATTGTTTCTTACTTTTTATTATTATTACTGCCAGGAAATATTTCAAATAACCAAAGCATGATGTTAGTTAGCAGTTTTAAGTTCTCGAAGGTCCAGCAACTATGCTGTACCTTGTAGACGTTATACATTGCAAACTTCATCCATGCTTTAAGTATCCAGCTTGATAGATGCCACAATTTTTCTTTTCTTTTTGTGGAGGTTTGGCTTATTTCCCCTTCCATATATCAATGTATCTCAGGTGACCAATGAGCTTAAATTAATCCTTATCAAACAGGGATGAAAAAATAAGCAATTTTAAGTCTAGAATGTGCCCATAGAGAGTCAAGCAAGGAGTAAAAAGGGCCAGGTTTAAACTGTTTGGCACAAAGAAGGAATGGAAAATGAGCAAAATCAAACAGTGACTGAAATGCAGGAAGGAAAATCAGAAAGTCCATTATGCCAGTTTTACTTGAGGCATCACACACAAATTTCTCCGAATGCAATGTCTTGATCAGCATTTACTTCACATGCCTGTAAAAGACAGTGCCTGGGTAGCTGAGTTGCCCTCCTGGGATAGGCAGAACAGGGCTCACAGACCTCCTTCAGCAGTCCTGCCTGTGGACAGCGTGCACAGGAGCAAGGGAGCGAAAGCACAACTTACTAAGGTGAAAATGAATGCTCAGTTACTTCATTTCTGATACAGGAGTGGGCACTCATAAGTTTAAAGGAAATTCCTCAATAATACTACAGGCCAGTTCCTCAGAGGCTGACATGCAGGTCTCTGCTGCCATGTCCTGCTTCAACAAACCATTGAATCAAAACTTACTCTTCGAATTTGTATACTGCAGCTTTAAAGACTGCCACTTAGTGCTTCCAATGCTGTACAAAGCAATTTTTTTGCTACTTTCTATGAATGGCTATGCATTTAATTTTAAAACTTCTAAACTGTAACTTGTTTTACATGGGGCTGACATCTCAAAGGTTTATCTATCCCTACCCCAGTTCATGCATGTTCCCCGTTTATCAGGACCATCCTTTAAAATGAAAGCTTAGATTTTTGTCCTCAATGATCTAAACAATCTAATGAAATAGTGCCAGTGATTAATAGGAGATATGATGAGAAACGCTCAGGAAAAAAAAAATCATCCCCTTAGGTCACAACTCAGCTCTTCAAAGATGTGCTTACACATATAAACAACTGTTGACTCATGGACTTGACATCCACAGGGAACCAGCATTGTGAAATGTCTTGGTATTTGGAAGTGTCTGGCATATGGAAATAAAATTTAGAGCTTAATCTCACATACTGTTCATCTGCCCTCAAAATCCATCCTTCCATCTGAGACTGGCCATATAAACTGGGTTTTGTATTACTATGTATTTACCAAGTGGCAGAACTTTAAAAACAAAAATTTCTGTTTTTAAAAATTATTTTTTATTTGCCTCACTATGAGTGTTTAGTGATTAATAATCACATCAGAAAATAAAAAGCATTAAAGCAGGCAGCCTCATTAAGTCAAAGATGAAATTATCATCTATATAAGAACCGTATCTATTATTTCCCATTAACATTTTTTCTAATCAACAGTCTGAAATAAGCACAGGTACTTGAAGATGCATTGAAACATCTAATATTAGAACACTGACTTCTCCACATAAGCTTTACACCAGTCAACATGGTAGAAAATTTACCTTTTTCCTGACTTGTTGGTCTTTGGAGGAATGGGCTTTCACATGCTTTCTCAGGGAACTTGGATCTGTGTATCGTTTAGTACATCCCGGAATCTGACATGCATAAGGTTTCTAAGTCAAAAAAAAAAAGGATAAAGCAGCTGTTACATCACAGATTATTTTAACTCAAGAGAATCCCTTTTGAGCCTTGAGATGCTGCAAACCACATTATTACAGAAGACAAATGTTGTACATTATTACAAGCAGAATGCTCGGTAATTTATTAGAAAAGGAAAGGAGGAAAGTAAGGCTTATAAGGAAGAGAAACTGAAGGAAAGCTTTTATTATGGCACCTTTCATTGTTACCTTTTTTTTTGTAATCAGTACAATGAATATTGCTAGTTATACTCACAATTTTTCCACCCTCAGAGCAATCTTTGACTTAATCAGAAATTACATTCTTTAGTAAATCAGGTTAAAAAACTGCAGTAAAGGCCCAGATAGACTGTTTAGGATTACAGAAGAATCTGCTTCAGAAAAAGAGAACAAGAAGAAGTGTTAGTTTACTACATTACAAAGAGAGCAAGAAAAAAACAAAGCAAGCATTGAATACTGAAGTTTCAAAAATATTACACACAAAAATACACATTTTAATGTGAAGTACAAGACAAACTCCTTCAGCTCACATTTTCTAATAACACATATCATTTTAGAAAGATACCAGTCCTGTAATACCTTTATAGGATTCTTAAAAGGAAGCCCGATAAATCTAACTCACCAAATAAATACAAATCTCTACAAAGATCTCCTTCTGCCTGTTCTAACCTGCCTGTCTTCCCTGAAGACCTGTAGGTCCACAATACAGAGTATTAAATGAACATTAGGTCCAACTGTTTGCTGAAATTAGCTATTTTGCAATTTAGCCATTGACGTTTCACAAAGCATTTCTGAAAACACCTTGTACAAATTATTAACTTACAAGCCATACTATCGACTATTCGAAATGGATAATTTAAGTTTTGTGACAGCCATTTAATTCAAATGGCATTGTTCTCGTTTTCTTTCTGGACTTCTGCCCTTTGGAAACTGCTTGTCTCTGACGAAACACAATCTTCTGTTATGAAACAAAAGTTTTTAAGCAAATCTCAGCTGTGACTCAAATTCACAAGCAACAATTTGTTGCCATGAAAATTTTTAGGTTTACAAAATTATTCTTCCTCTCTTGACTTTTTGGCACATGCCCCAGCCTTAAGTTAAACAGTTTTTGCCAGAGAATAGCAGTTATTATCGCAGATGGCTTCTGTGTCCTTGCATAGTGACTTCAGGTTCCATAAAGATCACCTAAGTGGGAGAAAGTTACTGCCTCTACCCGCAGCAAAGCCCATGGAGCTGTGGCCTTTTTATCAACTAGTTTGGCCCATCTTCATCCATGCTTATATTACCGGGTCACTTCTCAAACAGCTTAAACAGCCTCATCAGACACTTCTGCCTCCCATCTCTATGGTTATGGGCTACCTGCTGCCACCAAGCTGGAGGAAAGGAGCACACAGTCTAATATACAGGGGACTGCAATGTGACTTCTGCTTCCTTACAGTGTCCAAGTGTGTCCTCTGGTGCTTGGCGCGGTCACTGGAGTTGCTGAATGCTTTCTGGCAGCCAGTGTGCTGACAAAGGTACGGCTTTTCACCCGTATGGCTCCTTAAGTGAATCTTGAGATTTTCTAGTCTGGAAAAGGCTTTCTTGCAACCCTCAAACTAGAAAAGAGAAAGAAATTATTTGAAAGGAAAGCACACACAGCAAACCGCAACAGCAAACACCAAGCAGGAAGGTGAAAGGGCTTGCAGAGACCTCCAGCCTGCTATGGCTGGATGCCTCTCCAGAGCTGAGGAAAGCCTGGCTTCTCAGTGTGGGTGTTGCTGCAGGGTTTGAACCATTTAGACCATATGAATGTATTTATCCTCCCTGCACATGGCTGAATTAGGAAACTATGTCCTACTCCCATTTTACAGATGGGACACTGAGACTGGTCAGCTCAGAGTGCAGCACCACTCAGCCTATCTTGGACACACAGCCCCAGCTGACTCTCCCAATAGCACATAGAAAGCAAAATGGTCACTGTGGGGTTCCCAAGTCCTGCACTATCTTATCTTATGAACCCTTATCTCAGCTCTGGGCTTGTTTGGATATTAGCAACTGAGCCGAACACAGGCATCTCTCAGTACCAACCCAACCTACAGAGCAACAACAAAATCATGTAGGGAAATGTCCACCTGCTCTGCCTTGCTGATGGTGATGTAAAAAGTAAAATGATTTTTGAAATACTTATTTACCTTTCTGCCATGAGTAAATGTACAAGGTACTAAAAATAATGGGACCCCATCAAAATAGGATTTAATCCCTACGCGTAACCAATAATCATGTGGCACACTACTTCTTCACCTAATCAAGTACTGCATCTGCAGAGAAACCTATGTTTATATGAGCAGAAAACCAGTTCTTCATCTATCATGTTCCCATAGTATACTTTAACCTAAGGGAAACTAAAACCCATCAGTTCTATTTGACACCAGCATTTTTATGTACACTTTATTTCAATTAGACTTGAATATTTATGAATATTAGTTAGAAGTATAGGCTTTTTTAATTCTATCAGTCAAGATCAATTAATCCCATTAGTTTCAGCTGCTGCATATTCTACTGCGCAACATCTAAAGCATCTGCTGCATAACATGCTAGTTTGCAGTTCTTGCATACTTGCAAAAATAATAATGCATTAGCAGAGACGTCAGGCATTTCTAATGCTAACGCAAAATTTTCCACCATTTCTCTTCCTATTCATTTTACTCACTTGAAAAGGAATGGGCCATTTTTCACTGATGTCAGAATAACACAAATAAATTTTATAATATATTATTCAGCGCATGTATGTTTACAAAAGCACAGGTAGGAAAACACTGACATCATTCTGATCATAATTAGCATGCCTTTCTTACAAATCTGTAAGACCCTCAAAAAAGAGAAAAAACAGGATATAAAATTTTCATCACTTAATTTTAAGCACTTCAGTTTTTAGGATTAATGCAAGAGAGAGTTACAACTTCAAATAATATAGTGCAGGCAGAAAATACAGAAAAAAAAAGTTTCGGCCTCCCCAGACAAACCGGGGAGGAGAATTTCTGTGCAGCACTCCCTAAAAATTTTTGTTTAGTTTTAGCAACAGAAGGAAAAATAGACTGAATGTTGCCCAGGAAAACACACGATATAGAAGAAAATACACATTACCTATAAAATGGCAATACTAAAATTAAGCTTAAGAAATTAAAGCTTGAGAAAGGGGATGAACCACCCCTCACTATATCATAACTGCAATTTTATTTTTCACACACATCAATTTCAGGAAATTTCTCAACCCATGAAGCTTTTTATTTATATCCCATCCCTTTATCCAAAGCAAACATACAGTGCTTTTCAGATTATCCAATTTTGATCACTAAACATTAATTTATGTTTGTACATATAGTGTTGCCTTTATGTTTATGAACATTTAGTATGCAAGCAAAACATTGTTGCAAGTGTAAAAATATTTTTATTTTTAGGGAACTATTATTAAAAAATATTCCAGGGGAAAAAAAAAAAATTTAGATAGATATCTCTTATAATTGCCTGGATAAAAAATACCACATTTTTTTAGGAAAAAGTAAAGAGTGTAGAAAGCATAGAAAACATGAGAGCAAAAAGACTGATATAACAAATGGCCTTCGAAAAGCAAAATAATTCAAGAGCAGCTTTGTTAAAACAACAGAGAAGCCTACTGACTAGCCCATCTTATGTAGACAAGTTATTATTTCTTATTAAATTCATAAAAGAACAACCATCCATTCTAATGACAGTAACTAAGCTGTACATAAGTATGAACTAAATTGTAGTAGCTCAAGCAACCTTCAATCTCATAGGGTAAAACTCAGCCCAGTGAACACATTCTAAAAGCAGGCCCTCTGTTTTGTTTATTTCACAAGTTATTAAACTTTGAAACTTCAAGCATGCAAACAAACGTGTAAATAATTGTTTATAAGATTGTAAAATTAGCATTGAATTTAACTGCGCAAAAATGTTTAGCTGAGCAGAACTGGGGACTGTTATCTTACAAATTTAAAAATTGTGATTTTTGAAGACTCCTGCATTGCTGATCATAACTTGGAAGCAGAGAAGATAGTCTGAAGTTCTCTCTCCCCTCCACAGCCCTAAATTACTGTGTGTCGTATTCACAAGGCTATATATAATTGTGTATTGCAGAAAAGGTCATTCTAGCAAAACACAGAAACTACAAGCCTGTACTATTAGAAAGACCATCTTTACACAACAGTTAATGAATGTTTACTCTAAAAACCAGGCTTTTTGAAGCCTTGGGAATCTCTGATGCTTAAGGTAAAAGGAATGAAAAGACACTCTTTCCAACAACACAGAACATACATTCTTTCCTGATAACCAGATTTCAATGAAAGTATTCCAGAGACAACACGATTACGTAAGGGGGAAAAAAGTCAGGTAGATGGTAGTTGCATTTTGAAACAGAACTCTTTGTAGTTTTTAAGTTACTAACTGTGGTAGAAGAGGAGGATGTAACACCTTTATTACAATTAGTCACTTAAGTAGATGGCATGCATTTTGCATTCTGAAGCTGTTTAACACTCCTAAACATACTCCTGATTAAACCAGATTTTTTGGAAGTATTATGTGGAATTAATTGTGTAATGTTTTCCTAAACTGCAATACAGAAATCATAGTTACTGAGCTTTTGTTTTTACTGTTGCATGCAAACTGAAACCGTTAAGTAACTCATAAAGACAATTTCCTCTCTGTACTTCCTAAACTTGGGAGTTCTTTTTTAAAACATACTCATTGGAATGTCCATATCCATGTTTACTTTATCTTTTTGTAAGTCTAATTGTCAAAAGCAAGAAACAATATATTTACAGTGAAAGGTAAAGCATGTCAATAAAAAGCAAAAGCAGTGCTGTGACTTTAAAACACTCGCGTTCTCATGAGTGTGCTGTTAATGTTTGTATACACGGAGATGGTGTTCAGTGTGCTGGGCAACCATCCTGTAAAATTACAATATAATTACATAGATATATATAAAAAATAATCTGTGCAGCGTGTGAAGTCCTGCTGGATGCACCATGCACTTCTGAGCCCTGTCTGAAATTAGACAGCAACCTTCATTATGAAATACATTTAGGCCCTTACACTGTAGGAACAGCATGGTAATACCTGTGTGAATACTTTAATGTTAGTAGCAGATATTCAGTGGCCAAGTGTTTAAGAAATTAGTCAGTTTTCACTGTAAAAGGAACTGCTCTGATTTCCTCAGTTGATCACCAGTGTAACAGAGACTGAAGACCTTGCTCTGGCAAACAGCATCTGTCTGAGATCTGATCCATTCACAGAAAAGTATCTAGTCTTGATTTTAAAAGTCAATGACAGACAGCCCAGCTCCCTCTTAATCCAACTATCCCCTAATATTATCTGGTATTAAAAATCTTCACTTTTTCCTATCTGAATTTGTTTTGCTTCAGCATCCAAACAGTGTATTTTCCTTTGTCTTTTTCTGCTATATTAACGTGGTAAGTCATGTAAAAGATAACTTCTGATTCTAGGTATTTTCTGTTATCAAGTCACTTAACTTTCTCCCAAATAATTTATATATATATGTAAAAAGTATTTGCTTTCTCACTATAAACAATGCTTTCTAAGACCTACTTTGACATTGGTTCTAAAACCAAAACAAATAAAATTAAATACTTTTAGAAATATTGACACCTGAGCAGTATTTGATTTTACAGTAATGTTTAATCCAATGTACAACATAATGTTACTGTCCTATTCTGATACTCTCACGTTTAGGCTTTTAATATCTTTTTTTATTTGAATCAGTTATACACAGTGATCCTCAAATATTTTTCAGCATCATGGCATTTGGGGGAGGATCATCTTTTATTTTTTAAACGTGAAGGATAAGCATTTCCCTAGTCTGTTGCCATGTGTGGGGAAATATTTATGGGATATTATAATGAATACATTTCATTACATGTTCCCAATCTGGGCGCTCTATAAGGTTACAGGGAGAGGGGTGGTTTTCTTTTTTAAATTTGCCTTCTCTAAACATCAGCTTTCCTATAACCATAAAATTGCAACAGCTGGCTTTCTTTGTATCAAGAGCTAGCCAGTGTCCACACAAAGTCTCAACAACAAACCTAGATACTTCAGTGACAGAATACATTTTGTTCTTCAATAAAACTGAATACGTGCATCAGACAAGAAGCAGAAGAGACTGAGGCGCCCCCCAAAAGGCTGTGATACAGGGAAATGATTGGATCAGATACATCCAAATGATCTCAGAAAGTTAGCTGTGACCTATGCTTGACGGAAAGGTGAAGAACTGTCCAAATCTCTGCCAAACTGACTTGGGATGAAATTAACCCAACCCTACGTACACACCCAACTGTACCTTCCTATACAGTTGCAGAATACCAGTTCGTGTGGCTTAGTAACCTGTTCAGCCATGGTGAACCTTTGATGATGCAAAAAGAGAAGAAAAAAGTGCACCCAGAAACTAAGATACGTATCAGAGGGGAGAAATTCCTCCCTGATTTTACAAGGTTAACAAAGTAAGAAGCTTCACGCTAGCAAACGTGCTTTCCATGAAAAAGTATCGAAATAATCAACATCTCTACCTTCCATGCCTCTTCTTCAT